ATGCCGCAACGTCCCGCACTGGGAGTGCGAAACGCTGAGACACAAGATATCCGGTGCTCAGCCGGGGCGAAGTCATCAAAAACATTCTACGCCGTTGCGCTCCTAATCGCCACATGCCCGTAACCTGAGCAAGTCCGACAACTGCTTCATAATCTGCTACAGACATATCTCCCTGCTCCATGTGGACTAGCGTCTAACTCGATTTCCGGCTTTTGCTGTTGCCGAACATATGCCTCATCACAAGAAATAAATAAACGCTCTTCCTAGCTATGTTGTCATCCTCGCGTCCGGAGTGAACTAAAGTCGTAGTACCACCCTTCGACGTTGCGCCTTAAGCGCCTGAAAGCTACTAGCCTCTGCTGTCTGGTATAGTGTCCACATTAGGCAATCCAAAATGTTACCCACATCTTCCTTCCACTTCGTGCCGCCTGCAAGCTTGAATCCAAATAAATAACACACGATTAATAATTCGGGTTCATTTAAAAATTAGCTTAATAATCTTGGTTAAGATTCTAAAAAATTATCAAAGTATATATATATATATATATTATTATATATTATAGTATATATATTTATATATATATATATATATATAATATATATATATAGGTATAATATTATATAGTATATATATATAGATATATGCTATGTAATTATATAGTATATGTATATAGATATATATAGTATATATATATATATATATATATTAACATATATATTATAATATATATACTATATTATATATATATATATAAAGATATAGTATATATATATAGTATATATATATACATATATATATATATATAGTATATATATAAGTGCGTTTCTCATCGCGACTGATACGTACGCACTGATACCTGCAGGGTTGTTTTTGTAAAAAAAACAACCCACCGTACTTTAATTCCAGCTGGCCTCAAGAGAACTGTTCTCTCCCTCCCCAAAAATCTCTCTCCCCAAAACTTCCCCCAAATTCCTCAATCCCTCTCCCCCTTCCCACGATTTCAGCCCAAATCATCGCCATGACACCGATGTTGCCAGCCCGCCCTCCGTCAACCCTCCTCCTCCGCAATCTCGGCGTCAAGCTCCTCCTCCGCCTTCAGACCTCCTCCTCCGTGATCTCACCGTCGAGAACCTTCTATATTGAGCTTTAGTAATTGATAACGAAAGCAAAAAAAATGGCAAACTCCTGGTAAGTGTAAACAAAAACAAGAATCAGGAAGTCAGGTTACCTCCTTAAGCACTGCATCAGGTATTTGATGTTGACCTTTCTATGCTTGAGAAAAATTGCTGCAGGTATTCTTGCTAAGCAAACTGACATAAGTTCATGGAGTTTATGCATATGAATTATTTACGTCTGCTGTTGCTTATGGATCTGAAAAATACCAGTCCCTTAAAGATCCAATATCTTTAGGCTGTGTTTGGGAACTTGGATTTGGACATTGGATTTAAAATCCAGGGTATTTCATATCTAAATATTTTGTTTGGGCCTCAAATTAGGCTCAGATTTCAAATCCAATGATTTTTAAAGAGAATATTTTGAAAGCCCAAATGACGTATTTGAAATCCCACCCTCACCCTTGGTATTTGCAAAATCCCGACGGGTTGAAATCCCGATCCCGACTCCTCCTCTCTCACATTTCTCAGTCACGATCCTTTCTCCTCTCTCCTCTTCTCCTCTCTCGTCAAAACCCTAGATCTGATCTAGGGTTTTCTCCATCCTCAAATTCCCCCCTCCTCTCCTCCTCCCGCCCAAATTCATCTCATCCCGCCCCAAATTCCCCAGATTAGGGTTTCGATTCCGTCGCTTCAATTGAGACAGCGTCGCCGGCGTCGAGAGAAGTAGACTTATGGCGGGTCCGGTGATGGTGAAGGAGAAGATCGATCTCACTGAGAAAGAGGAGAATTTCAAGTGCTTGCTCGATGTTTTGAAGCACTTCGAGTTGGGGACTTAGCTTCGAGTCGCTGGCGGTTGGGTTCGCGATAAGGTCGAATTTAATCCTTATTTTCTCATCTAATTTATATTGTTGATGACGATACTGTTTTAATTCGATCAAAGCAATGAAAAATTCTTCGGAGACTGGGGAAGAAATAAGTAGCTGGTATGCTAATTGCTATAGTTGGGATTTCAATGAAAAATTCTTCGGAGACTGGGGAAGAAATAAGTAGCTGGTATGCTAATTGCTATAGTTGGGATTTAAAAAAATTCAGTTGGGGAGACTGGGGAAGAAATAAGTAGCTGGTATGCTAATTGCTATAGTTGGGATTTAAAAAAATTCAGTTGGTTGCCTTTGTTAAAGAATTATTTTTAAAGATAAACCAGGGATATTTTTTTTTTGGGGGGGGAGGGGATATTAGTAATTGGTTTTATTCTTTGCTTTTTTGTGTGGTTAAGTACACATATTTTAGGTAAAGATTGCTACTGTATTAATATTGCACTAGACAACATGTTGGGTAGAGAGTTTTGTGACAAAGTGAACGAGTACCTGTAGTGCGCTTATGAGAACATAAGAATATGATATTGAAGTTTGCAGGTTGTGCTATCATCCATGCACTCCTTTTCTCCACTTTATTGGAGCATCAATTAATTTACCCGGAATTTTGCTTATGTGTTTCTGTTTGCACTTTCTAGTGCTGAAATGAACTGGTGCCGAGTGCAACTGTGCAAGTGATCGTATATGTATTCTTAGGAAATACTATGTCCTTCAAGCTCAAATTAAGTGTTGAACTCCAATTTCCATGCATCACTAGCTATCCAAACTGTGGATGCGGACACATCTCTTAGTTATTACATCCGAGTAGGTTCTCTGCTAATTTTCATGTGTGCAACAGCTTTCCCATATTTTTGGCTGATTTTCATTTTTTTGATTTATATAAAGGCCCTAACGGTTGGAACCGTCGGGGCAAATATTTAGCCCTAACGGTTCTAACCGTTGGGACTAAATATTTGCCCCGACGGTTCCAACCGTTGGGGCTAAGTATCGTTGGGCCTAACATGTATTAGAATGTATCATTTTACCTTTTCCTTTTTAGTCTCTGCTAGTTACTGATAGGATGTGTTGTCCTCAATTTCAATGGAACACACCAATCATGTGAATGAATGTTGTATAAAAGTTACCGTAATGCATAAATTTGTTTTTGCTTCTTTATCTAATATATATCAATCGATGTTTTCTGCTTCTTCAGGATCTGCAAATACTGGACCAATTGAAAAGGAGTGTGCTGATTTGTGGTCTAGGATTGCTAGTGCAGACAATGCTATTGTGTAATATTCAGATTTTTCTTCAGGTGTCAGTGAGGAGTAGTAGTTTCATTTTATTTGTTATTGAGAAGAAAATGAAGTTTTTTTGAAATATGGATCCATATTTGTGTTGGATGTTTTTGATTTCCCGTGACGTACATGTATTGGAATTAATATTCTAGGATCCAGCTGATGGTAGCATTGTTTTCCTTTTGTTATGAAATTAAATGGTGATGATTCGAAGATAATAATAGTGATGGTATGAAGATAATAATGGTTCATATATTGGATATCATTGTTGAAAATTTATTAATAAAAAAGCTACTAGAATATTTGAAGATATATTGTCAAACTTCTCAGGGGGCTTTGTGAAATTTATCCTAACTTTTACCTCGCATAAAGATTGAGGAGTTGAAAGAAAGCATAAATTTTCTTCAAACACCAATTTTGAAATCCAAGTTCGTGTATAATAAAAAATGTAGCCAAACACTATATTTCAAATCTTTGATTTCAAATCCTTGCATTTTGTAATGACATCCGAACAAAGTATTCTACCAAATCATGGATTTCAAATCCTAGATTTAAAATCCTTTGATTTTAAATCGACATTCCAAATCCAAATCTTAGTTCCCAAACGTAGCCTTAGTTAAGATATGGTTCATTTGCGGAAGCCATTGACTCTTTTGGCTTGCAAATGTAACATTCATTAGGTATTAATTGTTATTCAGTGAAACCCATTATCTAAATTTTCTAATCTTTTTTTTTTCACAATGATTCGCTGTAGTTTTCTTGGTGCCCCGATATAATTTCATCCGTCTTTCACTGGCTGGAGGAGCGTGGTAGGCTATCATCTGATTGTAGTCAGTGTTAAATGGATAAATAGGTTCTCCCTTATGAGCGCAACACTTCAAGAAATAGTCACTTCTCACCGCTGCATTTTAACAGTGGCGCTATGCGCACATGTAGTTTTAAACTCCAATAATCGTCAGCAATTTGTGCAATGAATTACATAACTAAGGGTGTTTTCTGTAAACCTTATGCCTAACCGAATGATTGTAAGGAGGACTTGTGTATTTGTTGCAAGGTAGATTTGGGAACTTATGAGAAATCAACTTGGGAAATGAACAATGGATGTATGTTTTCTTATGAAGGGATTTGGCATATGGTCTTGTGGCTGGATGTTTAGTAAAGTTCATGGCGGCGCGTCGTATGTATGTTGTAGGATATATCCTTTTTTTATGCTATAGTAGTCTCATACGCGGAGCAGCAGTCTCATACGCTTTTGTTATCGTCGTAGCCAGGAAACCAACAAAAGCATACTTAACCTCTCTCACCTACGAGAACAAAAAACATGACAACCAAAACCCGCGTGATAAACTGATAGAAGTTACAAATATCAACCAACTACTATTTAGCATCAATAAGAACCATCACTCAGGTGGAGGAACCAAGATGTCTTACAATGCTATTGAAGTCTTTAACAACATTACACCAGAGAGCATAACCAGAGCCTTAGTCAAAGATATCCAGCAACAAAAGAAAGCACGCCCACTAAGCTACATACTACGCTATGGGGTTCAAAATGAAAGCTACATAACATGGTGACACGCTTGGCATGGATGGCACAGAGATTAGTGTCCTCAAAGAGCCCGACAAGGTATGCTTCGGCAGCCTCCTGCAGAGCTAGCACAGCATGGCTCTGGAAGCGCAGATCAGTCTGAAAAACAAGGGGAGAGAAACATAGTTAATACACATATAGAACCATAAATTGTATCACAATTGTAGAGAATCAGAAGACGCAAACTAGATTCTGTATATGCCAAGCTCTCAAACCTTGAAGTCCTGAGCAATTTCCCTGACAAGCCTCTGAATACCAACCCAGAGTAACACAAAATAACAGCAAATAGAGAAATTAACAAAGAAAAAACAATAAGACATAGCTAAGCTCAATAAATTAACCAAGTTGGCTTCTGCTACCGCAATTGTACTTCCATAAATACTCAAGTTGCTTCAGCGTCACAAACCTGTTTGAATCATTCATTCGCCGCTAGTTCCCTACAACATACTCAGTTGAGTAGTCACACAATCAAAGAAACTGGACTCTTGCCTCTTGTGAGATCAATGTCTTTTCCAGCATCTTGGGACCTATAATACCATGTCATGCATAACCATAAAGCCCTTTTCTCAATGTCTCCAAAACTAAAGAAAATATAACGAAATAGAGCTCGGACGGCGAATTGCAGAGAGAGTTAGCGTGACGGAGCGAGCGCGCGGCCTGGCGTATACTCGTGGCTGGTCGTGTTTTGGCCGTCAGTCGGCCAGGGGGCGGTCCTTGCTGGCCGGGTCATGGTGTCGTGGCATATTTGGGCTGAAATCGTGGGAAGGGGGTGAGAGAGCATTGAGGAATTTATGGCCTGTTTGATTCGTAGGGGGTGGATAGGGAAGTTAGGGAAACTGAGTGAAGTGAAGGAAGGAAGGAAAGGAAGGAAGGGAAGGGAATTCTCTTCCTGGTTACACCCAAATTTGGGGGCTAACATATTTTATACTATTTAAGCAGAGATAACAAATCTCTTGATGGCCAGTAGAATAAAAGGCGGTGGCGTGTTTTTGCCAAAAAACAAACCCTCAGACATCCAGTGCGTATGAGAACGAAAACTGTATATATATTATATATAATATATATATTATATAATTATATATATATATATATATTATATATATATATTATCTGGAAAATTACCAAAACATAAATAACCAAATAGCTGATTTATTTAAAATTGGTTTTTAGTGGGAAAATTGAAAGAAGAAATTGAGAATATGAATTTGTATTATTCTCTCTAACAGACTTAGAAAAAGAATGAATTACAATTCTCTCAATGTAAACTCTCTCTAACAAACTTAGAAAAAAATTATAATTCCTCTCAATCGATTTCCTAATTGACAAAAGAGAGAAAGATCGACAGAGATCCTTCCCTTTGTTTAAAACCAGGTTCTTCTTGGTGTCGATGGAATGCTTCCCTCGAATGCTCGCGTCGAGTTTGCTTTCCGTTGACGATCCGAATGTTTCACCTCGTGGAACATGATTCTTTCCTCTTGATTGATGTTGAGGAGAACTTGCGTGGCAAGTTTGAATAGAACTCTTAATGAGTTTGATAACTCAGAGCGAGTTTAAAACTCTGTAAAAGAGTTGATTTGAATCGAAAATTGGTTTTAAGCCAAGTACCAAAGCTCTTTGTTGCTGAAGAACCTCGGTTGCAGAATGCCAAATTTCTTCTTCAAAATTCCGATCAGAAAATGATCTTTACAAATTCTAGAAAAAGCCGATCAATTCCCAAAAATTCTTCTCCAAAGAACCGGGTTCCAATTAAGCTAAAATTTTAGCTATTTATAGGAGATTAATGGGTGTAACCGCCCCCTTGATTGCTCCTTAATGAGGGTTTATAGGGTGTAACCACCCCCCTTAAATCTCTTCTTAATGAGAGTTTATGGGGTGTAACCGACCCTATTAAACGGAAGAACGGTTTTGAAACCGTTCAGGTTTTGTTTGAACCAATCGAATGCAAAAATTTGCATTCTGGTACGAATTCTGCGTTCTAACGCAGCGTTTGTAAGCTGCATTAGCAGCTGGACTTGAGCTGCATCCGCGGCTAAACGCTAAAAGCTGCATTCGTGCTGAACGCTGGAGCTGCTTTCGCGGCTAAACGCTAGAGCTGAGCGTTAAAAGCTGCGTTAGCGCTGAACGCTAGAGCTGCATTAGCGCTGAACGCTAGAGCTGCGTTAGCGCTAAACGCTAGAAGCTCCATTAGCAGCTAGATTCAAGCTGCGTCTATGGCTGAACGCTAAAAGCTGCGTTCATGTGTTGATAACGTAGTGGTTGCTTTGCTTTAACTCTGTAACGCGGCCACTTGCGTTTCATTTCTGGGATCCAGAGATGAATTCTGCGTCTTGGATTAAAGAGATCGTTGACTTGTAATCTCTTCTGTCAGAGCAGCGCAAAAATCATCGTTTTGTAATATTTGCTTTAGCTCCTTAAAATGTGAGAGTCGTCAGATTGTACTCTCACTGTTGATTATGAAGACTGTTGAATCAGAACTTTCCTCGGTTATCGTGAATGTCGTCAAATTATAACCTTTCTCGATCTACGTGAAATTTTTCTAATTGTAGCCTTCATTTACTGATGTGAAAGTCATTTGATAGTAACTTTCATTGTTGAATTGTTAATGTAGAAGTCGTCAGGTTATAACTTCTATCATTAGTGTTTGATGGGGATCAACTATCTGTAGTGATTTTTAGACAGCCTACAGAACCCCCTCCAAAGTTTTCGAAAGTTCGTGGTTGACTGGCACGAATTTTTAGAATATTTTGGATCTCAACTCTGATCTTGGAGCTATAGATTCTTTATCATAAAGAAGTTGTTCTCCGCACTCGATTCGAAGACATCTTGGTTGAAGGGATTTGCCATGCAGGACCCATGTGAGGATGAGCTTCAAAGAGAAACTGTAGCGACGGTACAAGCTACTTGTGAGCAGAAGCTCTCAAATGTCACGTCGCGACTCACATCCATTCAGCTGATGGGCTCGCAAACATTCATAGGATTTTTGGAAAACCCTCAGCCATCAACGGATTTGATAAGCCTTTACTGACTACCGTTTGAGTCGGGCTAGCATGTGGATTGTCTAAATCTGTTCCACATGTAACGTTATGCTAAAAGAATGAACTCTCTAAGACTTAGTGCTATGATACCAAATACATAGACTTTATCAATTTTACGGGAATGGACTACCTGACAATGCGTGTTAGGCGTAGATTTATCTCTAATTAGAGATTAAGATAAAGTCACACATACGTGAAAGACATGAATTTTGGTGCTACGATGTTGAATACGTAGACTTCACCATTATTACGGGAATAGGCCACTCGACAGTATGTGTTATATGCAGACTTATCTCTAATTAGGGATCAAGATAAAATCCCCCATACGTATAAGACATGGATTCTGGTGTTATTAATAATAACCTGCTACGATATTGAATATGTAGGCTTTTGTCATTTTCACGGGGAAAGACTAATCGGCGACGTATGTTAGGCGTATACTTATCTCTAATTAGGGAACGAGATAAAGCCCCCATGCATGAAAGACATGGATTCAAAGATTATTAATTTAATAATAATTATTGGCTACGATATTAAATACGTAGACTTTGCCGTTATTTCTTCATGTGTTATATTTTCACTTGAAACACTAAAAGAAAGTTAGAAATGCCAGATGTGTAGTATTAACTTGACATGAATTTTCACTTAGAGTGAAATTCAAAAAATTTCTTTATTATCACTAGGATAATTTTAGAAAATCTTTAATCCACTAGGAATTTTATAATAAAAACTTGCTATTCTTATTGAAAAAGGATTAACAAGTTCATTGGGGGTTTGACTGTTAGAGGTGTGATGTTAACCTAACAGTATTTTATAGGCCTATTATTCTATTGAAGAGAGTCGATAAGTTGATTTGGTCGTTAGAGGTGTGATGTTAACTTGACGTCATCAGAGGTGTAATATTAACATGATGAAAGGATTAGTTGTCAGAGGTGTGATATTAACATGACAGAATTTGTTATGATCGGAGCAACCTTATGGACTTATCATCCTATTCAAAAGGATTGATAAGTGGATTGTCAGAGGTGTAATGTTAACATGACGTCATCAGAGGTGTAATATTAACGTGATGGATTGATAAGTGGATTGTCAGAGGTGTAATGTTAACATGACGTCATCAGAGGTGTAATATTAACGTGATGAAAGGATTGGTTGTCAGAGGTGTTAACATGACGTCATCAGAGGTGTAATATTAACGTGATGAAAGGATTGGTTGTCAGAGGTGTGATATTAACGTGACAGAATTTGTTGCGATCAGAGCAACTTTGAGGACTTATCAACCTATTGAAGAGGAATGATGAGTGGATTGTCAGAGATGTAATGTTAACATGACATTATCAGAGGTGTAATATTAACATGATGAAAGGATTGGTTGTCAGAGGTATGATATTAACATGACAGAATTTGTTACGATTGGAGCAACTTTGAGGACTTATCATCCTATTGAAGAGGAATGATAAGTTGGTTGTCAGAGGTGTAATGTTAACATGACATCATCAGAGGTGTAATATTAATGTGATGAAAGGATTGGTTGTCAGAGGTGTGATATTAACGTGACAGAATTTATTGCGATCGGAGCAACTTTGAGGACTTATCGTTCTATTGAAGAGAGTGGATAAGTTGATTGGCTATCAAAGGTGTGATGTTAACGGGACAGAATTTATTATGATTGGAGCAACTTTGATGACTTATTATCCTATTGAAGAGGATTGATAAGTTGATTAGCTGTCAGAGGTGTGATGTTAACGTGACAGGATTTATTATGATTGGAGTAACTTTGAGGACTTATCATCCTATTAAAGAGGACTGATAAGTGGATTGTCAAATATGTAATATTAACATGATAGAAATCTATTACGAGCAGAGCAACTTTGAGGACTTATCGCTCTATTGAAGAGAGTCGATAAGTTGATTGTCAGAGGTGTAATGTTAACGTAACAGGATTTGTGGATTTTGTGCTTGATAGAGGTATTCTATTAAACATGACAACTCTGAAAATTTATTATTCATAATCCAGTAGACCATAAATAAACCAACCCCCAGTCTTAAACAAGTGCAGGGGGAAAAAAGGTAAACATGGCACATCGCCTAGTAGTCTACTATCTGTCAAGTCGTTCATTGATATTGGAGTATACTATGATTGGAATAGATGCACGTCACACAGTAGGCCGTTATCTGAAGAGTTTGGCTATCGGAGGTAATTGTTAACATGATAATTTTGTGGATCTGCCATCCTATTAAAAAAGATTGGCTTCAGTGGCCGTAGTATTTTTTTTCTTCTGACTGAGAAGATTGGGTTT